GCAGCACCGCACAAGGCTGGCCCCGGCCCCCTCCTCCTGGCACCCACAGGGGAGCGCTTCGCTTTTTTCCGCAGGAAAGAGCAGTCTCTGATGGCTGAACTGGCTGGCTCTCAGGGCAGCGCGCACTGCCTCTGGAGCGGCCTGAGTGGTGATCAGTCAACGTCTTGTCTCTCTCTCAGGGTGCTCGGTGTTTCTCATTTGGACACCTCCTGTTTCCCTCTGTCACCTAATCTGCCAAGATGCTGCTTGGTTCTCCTTTTTGTCAGGAAAGTAACAACAATTCGCAAATACACAGATCAAAAGGCATATTCTTCTGTTTGCAGGAGAGGGACCTTACAGTTGTTAGGACAACAGCAATGTAATAAAACCAAAACTGAGAACAAAGCACTTCACAAGGGGCAAAAATGAGGGAAAAGACAAAGCAATGAAGAGCACACCATGCTCCTATCGGCTCCAAAGCCCCGTGGCTGCGGCAGCTCCGGCCATCTCTGTTTCTGTGGCCGTACGCACACTGGGCTCGTGTGCTCACAGCCAGGACAGCACTTGCAGGGGCCGTTCTTGCCCTGGCTGATCCCTGACAACATTCCACAGGGACACAGCACCCCTGCCCTCTTGTACCCCTGTCAAACCTAGATTATGTCTCTGGAGGAGAGGGGATTGCAGAAACCTCCCTGCTTTAGGGTGTGAGCCATAACACGGAGACCACTTAATGCAGACCAGGGGAAAAATCCTGACTGTTCACACCAGAGAGTGATTTACACATTAAAAGCCAGATAAACACACTAAATCCCAGTCTATTCTTAGACATTGGTCAGATAGAGCAACTTATACACTTTGGACAGGGTCGAATTTTTATCTACTCCTCTGGGAGGGCAGTAAGGTTGTGGGGGGACACACCCCTTGGCTCCGTGACTTTTCCCTGCCAGGAGGGTGACCTTGCCCAATCCACTCAAAGATACTCAGCACAAAGTGATCAGTCGCCCACTCCCTCAAACGGTCCTCAAACTTCTTTTGTCTACCTTTCTTCTGGGAGGCAATTGGCTATACATTGCTTTTTCCAAACTTTTGAGGCACCTGACTGAAGGTGGTGATCCTTGCTGAAGGTGATGGATCAGACAAAAGCATACACAAGCATCAAATAGAACACAAATGTGTAAAGCTGCCTACATAGATAATAGGTGCTGGTTGCTACTTCTTGGCTGAGTATCTCCATGTGTTCTGGATGTGTGGGTATGTAGTGAAGCTAAATTCAAAGATCATTCAGTGCATTAGGGCTGGTAGAGTAGACTGCTATAAACCCAAGTACTTTGTTAATCTATTGTTTGTATGAATTTATGTTTCAGTATTTTTCTAAACATGAAGATATTAAACTGTCTATATGACATTCCATTACAGATTTAGAATTATTTATGATCTCCCACACTGTACTAGTCCTAATGCCACTTGGATCATAAAGTGACATTTTGCTTAAAGCCCATCCTCAGCCAGAATTTCAGCAATTCTGTTTTGCACTTACCTGTGAGCGATCCATGTTGCCTGCACCTTGAACAGTCTGTGACAGCCCCTGTCTGCACCACCACCACACAGGAGCTGCAAGTCACACAGATAGGCAGGGAAACATCACAGGGATTATGGAAAGGCTCTCCAGCCTGTTTTCAATGTGTCATAGCTATTGAAATGTAGCTGCCTTTGGAGCCAACATTTCTGACTCTTTTCCTAATGCCTTCAGCAGCACTTCTTGGCCACTAAGAAAAAGGGGGTGAAACCTCAGACATGTACCAGAAGCTGTGATATTATCTTTTTTCCACCTGCAGTTAGGCTCTGTTTTCCCTAGGAGCTTTTAACGGATACAGGAACTATATACTACCCTGGCAAAGCACTCCCTGGTGTGATTGCAACTATGGCAGCAAAGCTGTTTTGTACCAGTGCAGGGCTGCTCTGCTCCCGCTCCCCAGTGGCACCAGCAGCACAGGAAGCACCAGACAAAGGCCCCACGTTGTGCTGCAGAGCTCTGCCCCCCAGAGCCCTGCCTGGCAAGGCTCCAGACCCTGATAAACGGGGTCAGACACCAGTCCTGCACCCTGGCATAGGCTAAGGATCACCTCTGTGAGCTGCAGGCGTCCAGTGTGTCACAGATACGGCTCCACAGCAGGAACAGAAAAGTGGGCAGCTCTCCCTCTGCTTCTCTGCAGTAGCTTTCACCCCCACACCCTAAACTGGACTTCTTCGGCCCCTAAGAAAGCAGTTACCAAGACAGCATCATCTTTTGCCATGTAATGATGACTATTCATATGGGACTGGTTATCTCAAAAATACCACAAAATAACCCAGTAGATTCAAGACAAACCTTCTGCACATTTGCCCATATTGTCTTAGGAAAGAAATATATTTAAGAAGTAGCATTGGTCCATTGGTGTTCAAATATTACCCAAACACTGTAAGAACAGAAGCTCATTTTTCCCAGACCGGGGGACACAGTCCAGCCCCTTCCTCCAACCTGACTTGGGCTGCTCATAAATGAGGCTCATATGCCAAAAGGGATGAAAATGGAACAGGACCTCAGACCTCACTTATGCTTTGCAGCCTGCCACATCACATGTTGCAGTTGAGACAGCCACAACACACAAGAGTATCACCATACAGTATCAGAAGGCATTAAGCATTCAGCCATACAGAGTAACACCTCACCATATCATAAGGCTGCAAGCATCTGCCCTTCTTGTTCTTTAGCCCAGCCTTTTATCCCCTCATGCTGATGCCCTGCCCCTGTGTGCCTCTGCTCCCTTTGGTGTTGGTCAGTGCCCCTGGGCACTCCATGGCTCATTGCTGTCAGTGCTGCTCACCTGCTGCTCACAGCTCTGCCCACTGGGGACGAGGCTGGGCCAGCCCCATCCCAGTCACCACAAACTGTGTACTGCACTTACCTTTCAAAGACCGGGTGGAAAACCAAACTATCCCTTTACCCCTGCCCATGGCATGGTCAGGGTTCAGGACAGATGAAACATGAGCTTAAGCACTGCTTGGCACTGCTGGGCTGAGCAGGTCCCCAGCACCCTGACCCATTCCCACATTTTCACTAACACGGGGGATATATGCAGCTCCAAACAGGATCCCCAGGTGGGGAGTTCCCCATCTCAGCACAGTGACTGTGCACCTACTTTTAACTAGTCAGCAGGGAGATGCTCAGATAAAGGCGTGTGCTTCAGTACAGCACTACTAAGGCAGCTCTCTGAGCTGCATGGAAACGTCAGTTCAACTCTTGGGATTCACAATGCAGTACCTTTTCCTGAAGATAGAAACCTACATCTTTTTCATTTCTGAAGCCTTGCCCAGAAGTGATCCAGCATCATTTCAAACCAGTGTCAGGCAAAGAGCCTTTCTTTTAGCATGGAGAAGATGGCCCATGAGCTCTTTCCACAGCAGCTGCTATACATTGCCAGCTTTTCTTGCAAAGGCATGTCTATGAGCCTGTGCTGCAAAACACTTTTCCATTTCCCATCTTAAAGTAGTACAACTGAGTTAGGAACATGCTTATATTATGAACAGGAATAATGAATTGGTGATTTCATTAACTAATTTTTCAGCCTGTAAACATCTGTTCTGTGATTCAGAGAGAAATAATCAGATTGAAAGTTAATGGTTTTTTTTTTCTAGAAACAGATCATTTCAGTGTGATTTTGATGAAGAAACAGTGAGCTGAGAATAATCTAGATGCAAACAGAACTGTCCTCTTTGGAATTAAGAAAAGCCATTCCTAGTTTTGTTGTATTAGGGTTTGTAAATTTGTCACAAGCCACATTGAGCCTGAACTCTTACTGTCCATGTAATGCTATTTCAGCAGAATAAAAACCATCTATCATTTCTCTCAAACAGAATATTCTTTCTTTCTTTTCTTTTTTTTTTTTTTTTTAGGAAGTTGTAACTTTTCTTAAGTTAGGAGTGCTCTGGTGCTTCCTGCTGTAAAGATGACCCTACTTCAGTTGTGCCTGGAGTTGTCCTTTGTTTGTAGCCTTCCCTTCCTGCTCTGAGGGAACCATGTGTGCACAACAGGACTATCAATATCAGCAGGGATCTAAAAGAAAATTGTTGAAAACATGGACTGCAGCATCAACAAGCTGTGCCACCCTTGCACTTGTAAAAAAGCTCACTACATAAACTAATCTAGGCATTGACTATATGTCCATGAAAACATATTTCCTACAAAATATCACTTACATGCTCCAAGCCCAGACATGGCCCAATGACAACCAGTTGTGCTCTAGCTCAGTGCAGCGATTTTGAAAGGCTCTGACTGTGCATGTTCCCATTCCACAGTCTTGCAAAGCCTTGTACTTTGTGGGAATGGGTAAACCACATCATTTCAGCTGTCACAACTGCTGAATATTTATGATGATTATGATTCATTCAAGCCAGAGACACCAAGAGAACTACATCTTTATAACTTTCCAGAGGTGTCCATGGTCCTTAAAATGACTGCTTCCCTGACCTCCTTACTATAAGATAAGTTTAAAAAGAGTAAAAGAAAGCCTGGCAATTGGCTCTGTTGGCACTTATGCAGAGCTACAATACCTGGGGGTCTGGGGTGGGTAAAATATGCAGCCTCCTACCACGGTCTGCAAGGCCTGATCCAATATCTGAGCATTTGTATACAATGCAGAAACTTTTTTTTTTTTATTGAAACAAAGAAGCACAGAGATATGGGCAAGGCAGCTATAGGTCTGGTTCTTCTATTCTTGCTGAAAAATTTAAAATATTAACAAGTATTATAAACTAGCAATACATTTTCATAGTACAGGTTCTTACCTCACCTCAACCTACCGTGGAGCCAGGGAGGTTCATCCAGAAGCAAATACAATACCAGACACAGAACCATGGCTTCTCCTCCTGGGCTGCAGAGTGCTCTGTGCCATCAGGTGAGTGATCACTGGGGTTCAGCCACCCCAGCAGCAGCAGCAGCAATGCAGGGGGCACTGACAGACAGACAAGCTCTGACGCTAAGCTCATGTATTCCCTTTATTGAACTGTACTAGTTATTGCAATCAGATTAAGTCACATTTATAAAGCAGACCATCCAGTTGCACTGAAACCGATTATATTCATTACATAGTTTTAATCACTGTCCGGTGAACTGGCAAATCCAATCAAAGCATTAGTCTTTAATTAAAAAATTAAAAAGAAATATTCAGACAATAGCCAAGCAATCACATCACAATGCACAGTTACCTAAAATTGCAATTAAAAAGCAGTTAACAAAAAAGAAAAAAATCACACCTAATCTTTAACTATCAATATAATACAAGAAGCAACAAAGGGCAACAGCATCAAAGCAGATTTATCTAACACTATAAATTCAGTCAGAAGCAGAAGCTCTAAAGTACACTAGCTGAAGCAGGACAATAAAAAATACTGAGCATGGAATACTTTTAATCTCTTCCATTAATATTCATTTCCAGCTGCTTATAATAGCAGCGCCTCATGGCCAAATCATTAGAGTTTTACATCTGGGTTGCAAATGACACTTTGATTGGATGTAATGTTCAAATGGTCCTCCCCACTGTGCCACCGTCAAGTCTTCTGCAGAGAGGTGTCCTGTAGTGCCAGTGGCTCACTGTGCGTGCTGGCTCAATGTGTGGTTCTGGAAAGACGAAAAAAGGAGACATGCATGAGGGGCAGAATAATAGAAAGCATGCCCATACCCTCCCACTCAGTACCATTTATGCAGAGCTCAACATAAAAGCTTCTCAATTATTACAAAACAAAATGCAATAAAGAAAAAGTACTCATAAGTAACAGCTGCCAATGTGACATATTTGCTTTGTTCTGACAGATCTGTTAATGCTGGCATGAACTTAGAAAAAAAATGCTACAAGCCAAGTATAGTCAGGAAGGTTCCTTTTTTTTTTTTCCTCCTTTCAATACATATAAATAAAATGGTAACTTCACGGGCAAAAAAACTGCCTTTAGGGATTCCCTTCACTGTAACAATTAAACAAACCAAAAATCTGAATCGTGAGGAAACCCTTGTCATATTTTACTCTTTTATTCTCACTCGTACCGGGTGCAAGCACTGGCAGCAAGAGACACCAGATTGTGACACACACTTCTCAGTCCAAGAAATACTTCGGCAATAACAGCTGAACCGCCAGCTCAGGCACCAGGGTAATATTCCCAGCAGAAAAAAGGCTGGACATGTAACCCAGAAGTTAAATCTCTTTAAAGAATATACTTTTCTCTACGTATTTCTTTCAGCAGTTTAGAGTCTCTTTTGTTCCCTTTTTTCCTTTTGGTAGATTTGTAGTAGCCTCAATGTCATCACAGTATCTCACATCAGAGGATGCTGACCTGTCTTGCCATTTTGCGTAGGAGGCAATAAATTGTGGAGCCAACCTCGGAAACGTATTTTTAGAGCAGTACTGATTCACCCACATTTTGTGTTCTGACTAAAACTCCAGTCTTACACATAAGCTTAGCTTTATTTGTATGATTGTCCAATTATTTGAGCAACTAGATAAGTGGTTCATGGTGAGGTTTTCTTGAGCTGAGTTCCCAGCATCCCCAAATATAAAAATTCATTTGTGCTATTTCAAGCCTAAGCAATTTCCCTAGTCTCCATCTGCCTAATAACAGAGCCGGGCAAGTCCGCCAGCTTGAAGAATAAGTTTTTAAACACAAAATGAATTTTGAATCTAATTATTTATTTACAGTGATGAAGCTTTAAAATAAAGCAAGATATTTTAACTTTTCATAAATCATCTGGTCCTTCTCCGCTATCCACATCTACATCGCGATCAGGATAAAAGAGCAATCCCCCGCTTTATGCAGAGCTGACGTGTCCCCGATGGAAGTGGCCCGCGGACGGCGCGGCCCCGCTGGCGGCGGAGCGCAGCGCTGCCGGCCGCGGCCGCCAGGGGGCAGGAGCGCCGCCGAGCCTCGGCCGGCGGGAGCGGGGCACGGCCACGCACGGAGCCCTGGGGAAGGAAACGCCAGCTGGGAAATCATGGAGTCACTGCTTCAGCAGAGCACCGGCCCGCTCAGACACCCCTGCCTGTGGCACTGAATATGCAGAACCACAAATCAGAAACTCGCGAATTGACAGCTGGAACTGCTTTGCTTTTAGACAATTTAACACCACCAAACACAAAATTCAATGGCTTTTTCCTTCGATATACGTGGAAATTTTCCTGGCCTTAAGAAGGAGTGACCTTTGCAGTGCTGGATGTTATTCTCAAGTCTCACAATGACTTTATGGAGGAGGATGGATGGAGCCCTGCACACACAATAGCAGCACTGACAAGAAGCTTGCCCACTAAACCTAGCTGGGGAAGCATGAAAATGTGAAAGAATACACAGGCTCCTCTGTGCTCACACACTCCTCAGCATTTTAACAATGGCCATTCCTTGTGCACTTCATTACACTTCTATTTTTAGGTCATCCTGAATATCAATAAAAAACCCAAAAGGTTTACCATCTTCAAATTGAAAGAAGGGCTATCCGTGGTAGACAAATCCATACTTAGTTAGGCCGTGTCGTTTAAGAGATAATGCACAATCAGCACTGGATGCATGATGCACAGCCTACAGTCAGGGAACATGATTTCAAACTTGTGTGGCTGCTGCATTGATTACACCAGGCAGGTCAATAAAGGAATGGTGTGTGGCTCTAAATCTGATAATGAAGCTTTTATTGGGAGCCCTCCCTCCTCAAACATCAGCTAATAACATGTTCTGGACATTCCCAATACAAGAAATACATTGGGTTTGGGATCAGAATTTGTCAAAGGAACGAACAGATTGTACTCAAATACTGCAGCCATTTAGATATGGGTCAGACAGGAGCTGAGAAATCAGCTGTGCCGTAGGGCTAGGAGTTAAAAAATTACATTTTTCATATGCAAATCTTGATTTTGTCTTAGTATCTTAGGAAAGTACCATTTATTCCCCATGTATGCATTACTGACAATCAATATGCTGGCTCGTGCCTGGACCATGCAGTTAATAGATGGAGCCTCATTTTGCACAGGCCCTCACATTAACACAGAGCCTCATTTTAAACAGATCTGTAATGCCTATGGACACGAGAGCCTGTGTGCTCTGCACCCTTCCCCTGCCTTTCTGGGCACATCCTGCTCAAGCCATGGGCACAGATGCCAAGTCCTGCACACCCAGGTGCCAGTGAACGCTGAGTGAAGGATAAATAACCACCACTGTGTGTGTTTCAAAGTCCCATGAGAACCTCTCTTTATCCTCTGCCAACCATATAGGTTTCTCACATACTAAAATGTATTTCAAAACATGCCTTCCAAAAAAAAAAAAAAAGTCTAGCAATTTGTCTCCTATTACTAGCAATTGTCATTTCTTATCTTCTTGCTTCTACTCCCTGTGCCCCGTGCATCTACAGCTCATTGGAATTATGCTCTGCAGATGTCAGAAAGCATCTCACCCATTCAGGGCTTATGTCTCTTCTCTCACATGTGTGTTTTCTATATTTGACCCGTAATTTTTCAAATACCTTTGTTAGGCACTTTTTTTGTGTGCCCAGCCACAGAAAATTCTCCTGGCTGACTAGACATTTGGAGTAATTGAAAATCAAGTATTAAGAATGCCCTGTGCTTAGCAGGAACAGTTTTGACCCCAATGGAGCCACTGGGCTGTTCCAGGCAGCAGAAGGAAATAATAAAGACCAGAAGGAAGTTTCAAGTGCTTTGAAACATGTGATACTACAGGAGTGCTGCTACCTAAGCAGCCTGAGGAAACCTCACCCACCTTTCCAGCAGGAGGGTGGGCTGGGTGGAAACAGCTCGGGTGTGATTTTTCAACTCCAGAAATTATAGTCAGAAAAAAAAAAAAAAAGACTTAATGGTGGTTTCCAGAGGAAAATAGAGCAGCCACAAAAATACAGGCCCTCCAGGAACACTCCTGTGTGTGTGCACATGCCTACCAGCTCCAAGGCCATCCATACACGTGCCCGTCTGGGGCCAGCAGGAGGCACGACATCATTTGGAAGCTGAACAGGAAAAATGGTTCTTCCCAGCTCCTGTTAGACCCCCTGGTTTACACACAGCTCACAGCTGATACCCCACTGAATACATCATTCTGAGACATTATTGCAGCTGGAAAACTCTACAGCAGCACTAAGTCACCTGTCAAGATCAAGTAAGTCACAGCTTATTTATAGGATAAGGTTGGAAAATCTCCTCTTTTCTTAATAATCATGCAAAATGGATAGCAATTCCATTAGCTATGTCAGGGGGAAAAATGCAACTACCCCAAGTCTCGGGGCTGTTGCAGTGTTTAAGTGGAATTTTCTACTGGCTGCACAATCCCCAAATGAACCATTTATAGAAGTGTCTGTGATCAAGGAACTGGGTGATGGGTTTTGCAGGAAATAAAAAGATTTCAAAGAATGGTTAATTATTGTCCATGTAGATATTGATTGTTCTCCAGATCTTCCCTGGAGACACCCCCTGCCTGCCCTCTGGATGCAGATCAAGCCATTTGTGCAGGACATCCACAATGAGTATTTCTCTGTTTTTTTACATGCATGATTATGAAAACACTGGCATGAAAATCTCCATTTTCAGAGCTCTGTGTCAAGAAGGAAAGCATCAGGCTTGAAAGATGATCACTTACAACAGTTCAAAGAACTCTTACAAGCTATATAAAGATCGAGGGGAAAAAAAACACACAAAAAGCAGCACATGATGGAGCGAAGCTCCAAGCCAGGCAGTCAAGCTGGGAGTCTCCCACACTGCAGCGACACTCACTGCCAGCAAGTCACAGGTGTACTACACAGGAGCAGGTGAAAAAAATAAAACACAACTGTGAGGGGTGTGATAATGGTTTGAGGCCATAACACATCCAGTCTACAGTGCCTCTGCGCATCTGTTATGGATTTAGACATTTTCTATCAGCCATTTACAAATGCACTGTCTATGTGCATGAGCACATACCCCTAAAAGGCCATATGTTATACAAAGGTTAAGAAATGGCCTAACAAGGCTGGTGATACCCCACCCTCAGGTGAAATTCATAAGCCTTCTGCAGTGTTACACAGAGACTGGGACTCTGATGAAAGGTTACAAAGCCTCTCTCCCCTTCCAAATGCCACTGAAATTAACAGAAAACATTACTCAAATAATTTCAATAAGAATTATGGAGATAATAGATTCATGTGACCATCAGCCAACATGAAAATTAACTGGTAATTAGCCATTGGGTGACCTATTAATCCCAGTATTTTTTCTCAGGGTGTGGGGGGTCCTCCAGAGCCAGGTAAGAGCCCAGGTACTTTCTCTCTGCCTCTCCCCACCTCTGTTCAGGTTTCTATCACCCCTTCAGGCACTGTCTCATTGCAAGCCCAGAGATCAGGGTCGTGGCTGGGGACCACTGGGACTGTGTCTCCTCCTCCCCATTTCTCTCTCCTTTTCCCTTTACAGAGCAGGGCTGGGAAACAAGAGAAGTGATGCCTCCACTGACTGCCAACATGCACAGCTTGCCAGACAAAAACTAAACCTCAGATTCAGGCATTGACTTGAAGCAAAGGTTTGTCTCACATTTGAACATATATATATAAAAAGACAAAACAAAACCTCCAAATTGCTACAAACAGAAGCTAGAGTGTCTAAATATTTATGA